AAGGGGAGGGCAAGAAACGGGGGGGGAGTGGGTAACAAGCTGTTTGGTTGGGTTAAACCACGACACCCTCCTTTCGGGTATTTATACACATTGATAAGATCCTCCCTGTGACATCTTTTCTCCAGGCTAACCAATTCCAGCTTTTTCAGCCTTTGCTCATCTGGCAGATATTTCAGTCCCTTGACCATGTCACTTTGTTGGACTCTTTCTAGTTTGTCCATGTGTTTCTTGTACTGGAGAGTCCAGAACTGAATACAGTACTATCAGTACTTCAGGTGTGGTCTCACCAGTACTAAGTAGAGGCAAAAGCTCACTTCTGTCAACCTGCTGGCAGCACTTCTTCTAATGCAGTGCAAGATACCATCAGTCTTCTTTGCCACAATGGCACATTTCTGACTCATGTTCAACTTTGTGCCTACCAGGACACCAAGGTCTTTTTCTGCCAAGCTGCTTCACATTCAGTCAGTTTTCTACCTCACTGTCTGCTCATCCAGCCCATACATCAACAGCTTCTTTATGAGGATCTTGTGGGAAACAGTGTTGAAATCCTTACTGAAGCTGAGGTAGGCAATATCCAATGCTTTCCCCTCAGGCACCAAGCCAGACAATTTTAAATGTTTATCAAGCTGGTCAAATTTGGCTTCCCCTTGGTGAATCCATACTGACTAGTCATAATGATTTTCTTATCCTCTGTGTTCCTGGAAATGTTTTTTAGGGTTAGCTAGGAATTGAGGTGGGGCTGACTGTACAGAAGCTCCCTGTGCCCTTCTTGCCCTTTTTGAAGATAGGAGCAACATTTAGCTTCCTGCATAATATTTCTTTAGATGTTCAGAAGATGTTTTTTAGAGAGAGGAATAAACACAACCTTATGTCCACTGCAGGTAAGAGGAAGAGTGATGAGTGTCAATTGCATAAATCTGTGAAAGGAAAACATCAGAATTTTGTAACTATGAGGATTGCTAATTCGTGAAAGCCTTCATTGGAAGACTGCAAAATATGGCAGTCCATTGGAGAATATTGTGCACTGTATTGTGGCTGGCATAAATAAAAATAAAATAAATAAAATAAAATGTCCAAGCCATGCCTCTATAGTCAAAGTTATTCAGACTCAGAGAAAGTTTTTACTAGTTTATGGCTCTTAGTAGTGTTATATTTTAAGCCTGTTAGTAATTTAATAGACTTCAGTGTATCTCTGAAACATAAAGTGAATCAACATGTAAACCTTGGATTAGGCCAGGTTTTTCTAACATGAGATATTAATTCTAGAGTTATTGGATATCATCTGGAATGGCTCTAAACATTCTTGCCTAGAACCTATCAGTGAAAGTCATTAGATAATCCCATCTTGCTAGACAGTAATGAGAGAGAAGAAAACTGTCAGATGTACAGATTGATGAATGCTATGGGAAACCTTGTGCCTGCAGTGTTACACAGGCAAGTACTTTTACAATTATAATAACACTCAATGGGTACAAATCCCTCATGACTTGAAAGTTCAATTTTTTGATCCAATTTAGTGATGTAACCTATGGCTCATTGTCTCCCTCAAGTGGATAAAGCAAGAACAGAGTTTTATTTCTTATAGACAGACTTTTTTTTTTGTTCTTCCATCCTGCTTTGGCTCATTCTTCTGTTTGAAGGGACCAGATTTGATACATGCAGCCAGTTTGACCAGGAATATGACTATACAAGGTCATCATTAAAAGCTGCAACCAGTTGTGAAGAGCCAAAACTTGGGAGGACTTTCTTTGGCCAAACAGGCCAAGGCAGGAAGAGCAAAATATTCAGTTGTCTATAAACTGAAACCCCAAAAACTTTCTTCAGTGTTTTCTGTGGCAGGCACAAACTCTGAACCATTCATCTTGAACAAGTGATAGTACTCAATTTTAGGTCATTAATTTGGACAGAATTTGCTTGGAGCTGTTCAGCCTCAGCATCCGGAATCCCTAGGAGATTATTTTGGTTTGTTTGGAGTCTTTGTAGCTCTGGCATTTAAAATAAATAAAATAATAAAATAAATAAAACAAAATAAAATAAATCTATGGAAACTTTTGAAAGGTTTTAAATTCTGTCAGTGTTTACATTATCATAGCTGACCCAAACTGAAAGATAAAGCAGGAAAGAAAAATAGTATTAAATATTCAGATGTACTGAGTACTAGAGATAAAATTCTGTGGAAAAAGAATTTATCTGTCATCCTTAGGAAATTTAATTTGGACAATCTTAAAGGAAACAGGCTACAGGTGTCATTACTTCTAACTCTGAGGTGTAAATGCATCTAATGAGATGGAAACGTGATAAACCCAGAATATTTCATTCTACATATTTAGAAACAATGCTGGGAAAACCAAGTGAACCCATATAATATTCTGCTTTAGGTTTTGTTTGATCTTTTGGGAGGAGGTGTGTGGTTTTCTCTTGTAAGAGTCCAAGACCTTTTACGACAAATATTCTGGCACACCTTATTTCAAATACTGACAAACTGGGCCTGTGTTTTCCTATATGTTTTTTTTCTGGTGGTCAACACTGATAAAATTCAAAGTTCGCACAGTGTAACTAGGAAGAAACATAACAGTAGACTTTGTCGGTATTGAAATTATGGGGTTTTGCAGTAGTCAAAGCCTGAGAAAAGAGAATTCCAGAGTGTTTTACCATTACGTCACTGACTTGCAGTGTGATCTTAGGCTTGCTGTTCCAACTCCCCTGCTACAACTTTCTTCATTTGAGTAATAACTCCCTAAATATCCCAAGTGCTACATGTTGATAACAGGACTGGTGACACTGAGACCTTCTTACCTGTTTGAGGGAGGACCTGAGTCTATGTAAACTGTTGCTGGCTAAGGAAAGCATTGAGGCTTCCATGTCTGGACAGAAATGTAACCCAGGCAACAAGGGAAAAGACTGCATTGGTGTAGTTGAGGTGAAATGATTACATGATTACACAATCTATCTGCAATATTAAAACCATTCTGAGGACTGAAATGCCACATCCCTTTTCTTCACCTGCCTTCCTTTCTTTCATCTTAGAAAGACACCTTTAGGTCACATATTTTTTAGTTTGCCTTGTTCTCTGAGGTCTGGTCGGAAAACTCTGGAACTGACAGCACAAATGCAGTCAGCGATAGAAGAGGAACGGAACCTCCGATCTGCTGCTTGCACAAATGTCTGCTCATCCCACCTCACAAGCTTCCCACACTTTGCCTGCCAGCAGCGTCAACCCTCCTCGCCTTCCCAAAGATCGTGAAGATCAATTACTTGGTCACCCAGGTAGCGATCTCTTTCCCTCTTCTTGGTCGCTTTCCACCACGTCGTCCCGCTTAGCTGCCCCAGAAGCAACCGCAGCTCTCGGCGTGGCACCTCCTTCCGGTTCCCTTAGCCTCCCAGGGCGGCGTGAGGCGCTTTGCTCCAGCTGAGCGTTTGGGGTTTTTTTTACAAGAGTTATCTCCATTACAGCTTCAGGCAAATGAACTGATTAATGAATTTTCTGTCGGCCATGGAAGTGCGTTGCAAGTAATTAAGGGATGTGCTGCGGGGCCGATTAAGCTGCAAGTCACAATGACTAGAGCACAAGCGCGGCGAGTCTATAGAGGTCTGCACCGCCTGCGCTCGGCTCTACAATGGGATCATTGACTATTTATTTACTTCGCACAACAACTCTGCTGTTTACTTAATTACAGGAGCTTTTCAGTCACCAGGCCCCACCCACTTCAGCCCCATCTCTCCTACGTTCTTCGTTGTCTTCCACTCTCTCCAGCCCCCGATAACCAGGGCTCCCTAGCTGATCACTTGAGTAGATGAAGCGGGGCAACCCCCGAGCATCCTTTATAGAGTGCAGGGAGCACTCCCTCGAGGATCTGGGAACGGGAATTTTCCGTGATGGAAAGGCGAAGGAACGGAGATTTTCCTGCCAAACTGCACAGCATGTCTGCCTGGAGATTAGCCCTCGGGAAGGTTGAGGGGTGAAAGGGAGACGCAAGTGAAGTCCTGCCGCACTTCAAGGCATGTCCTAGCCGCCAAACGGAATCGGGAAAAGGGGAGAAGCAGACGCCTGGGGCGCTGCAGGACAAGCGCTACTGGGAAGCACTGTCAATCCCGCAAAAAAAGGGGGCCATTTCACACCCCGGCTCATTAGGGAGGTCTGGGCCCTACTGTCAAAGCCCCTTTTCCGCAGCATTGCCGCTTAGGAGCTAGTCGGGGGAGGGGTTGGGGTGGGGGGTGGTTTGGGGTGGGAAAGGGCATAGCCGGTGGCGGCTCCCACAGGACGAGCTCGCCCTCCTTGCTCGCACGAGGTTTCTCCCTCCCGTCCCGTACCTCCTTCTAGCCTGGGTGGGGTGGGGGAAAATGTACCCGAGCTCAGTCCCCGCTCGTCCAGGGAAGGAGAAGGAACAGGCGAGCTTCAGCATGAAGGAGAGGCACTTTTCTCAGCCCCCTTCCTCCTGTCCCCCCTGAAGGCTGCGGTAGGGGCTTTCCGCGCTCTGCCACCTCCTCCCCCTCTATCACCCACGGGGCAAAATGAAGGCGCGCAGGGGTCTCAGAGCGCCGATTCGCAAGGCCGCAGGATCCAACATCCACACCCCCACCCCCCATGTTTACAGAACAGGATCGGGGGACCCCGATTAGGAGCTCAGCCTTTTAACGCCCTGGAAACTCGACCCCGAACGAGCTGGGCTCCTCGGACGAGGGTGGGGTCGGAGAGTGATCAGGGTGGGAGCGCTTCTGCTTTGCCGCCCGCCCGCGATGCGGTGGCTGTGCGGTGCTGCCAACCGCGCGGTGGCCGGCTGAGTTGGCGGGCGGGCGGCGGCGAGTCTCGGCGTTGCGGGGAGCCAGCAGCGGCAGACACGGGTAAAGCGGCTTTCTGCTCCTTTAAAGGGCGCTGTGCAGCGCTCCCGACGGGAGGCGGATCTCCGTCCTTCTTTCCATCCTTCTCCCCTCCCTTTCTCCCTCCTCTCTCCCTCCCTTTCTCGTTCCCTCCCTCCCTTTCACGTTCCCTCCCTCCCTCCATCGCTCGGCCGCCGCTTGCTGCCGCCGTCAGTGGTGCCCGGACGCCAGCTGCACCGCAACCCGAGCCGTTCCTTGGCGTCCTGCCACCGCCCTTCCTTCCCCCGTCTTCCTCTCCCTCCCCGCTTTTCCGCCCGCAGCTCAAGGTAGGAGGATGTCCCGGGGTCTCCGGCTGGCCGCCACGGCCAGACTGGTTGCATGCAAGTGAGGGGATGCGGGGGGGAGTCGGGGGATGGAAGCGGCGGGAGATACACTGTAGAGCCGCACACCGCGGTGTCCCTCGGCCAGGTGTCTCCGGGCAAAGGCGGGCGCTGAGCTGGCTGACCCAAGCGCTGCTGGGCTGGCCGACTACTGCCGCCCTGGTGTGCCCCTCCTGTGGAGCAGGAAGACTTCTCTCCTTCTTCCTCCCTCCTTTGCTCTGCACCGCCGACGCTGGAGGTGGGGAGCGGAGCCGAGGGGACAAGGCAGCGCAGCTTACGATGACCCAGCCGGGCTCCTGCCGGAGCTCGGAACTACTCCCACAGCCGGAGCGCTGCTCCAGGGCCAGGCCCAGGAGGACCGAGCCGGAAGCCTTAAGGATGTTTCCCCCGCTCTCCTGGAGGAGCGGAGGTGAGAAACGGGCTCTAACTTTGCTAGAGTTGTGGGTGGATAACCGTCTCTACCTCCTTGAGGTTTCCCCCTACCCCTACACTCTCCTCTCCCCGGCCTCCCCTTTTATCTCCCCCAAAGGGACAACTAGCCCCTGTTTGCGCTTGTCAGCAATCCTGTCATTTATTTCTTAACAAATTCAACATTCTTCGGTTAAGCATCCATCGCTAACCCAGCCTGGGCGCTGACGTTCTCTATGTAAAACAAGAGACATTCCTGCCTACGGAGCGGAGGCATGATTGCAAGACCCGTGTGTGCACTGAAAAGGAATGCATACACTAATGAAATCCCATCTTCACGTTTTTCTTAGAAACTTTTTGGAGAGTAAAGCATGGAAAACATTAAACATCCTACTTCTCCTCCCCAAATCTCTCACAGCTTCCCCAATCCCAAAGCAGACTGAGGGGAGGAAAAGCTGATCTGTAGATGTCATTAATGTTTGTTCTTGCAGCTTAAAACCTGCTAGGAAAGTGTATTGCTGTGATACTCCAAAGTGCCTGAACAAGTAAGCCTATTGAATACTCGGTTTGTTAATTAGAATACACATCTTTCCACTAGCTAAAAATTAATTACCATCTTAAAATGTCATTAATTATGAGTGCAGCAGAAACTTGGTTGCAAATTTGAACTGACCTAATAACAGACAGAGGAGAACCTATGGTTTTTATAGTGAAGTACAAGTGGACGACAGTATGTTTTTAAATTATAATATCAACATTAATTCGAATACTTTGGCAAACGTTTAAAAAGGGAGGACTGTGTTGGTGCTTTGTCAGCAAAGCTGCAATACTTGTTTCTGAAGATCTGGAAATGCTGGTCAGGTGTTGTGGTAAGCTATGGCTCTCCTCACACCAGACTGCAACAGCAAGACAACTGTGGTGGCATGTGAATCAGAAGTGTTTGCAAGCATTTGCTGGAGAATGTCCAGGAACCAAAGCTTTTGGGGCTGCATGTTATACACATAGTAAATTTATATCAGTTGTTGTTGGGAGAGAACAAAACACTAGATTAACTGATGTAAAAATCTTATCATAGATTCTTACAGACACAGCTATGACCTGAAAATGAAAGCCGTTTCCTTTTTAAAGTAATATGGTAAAACTGTACATCCCAGTAGGTGGCAGCTAGCTGGAACTGGGCTAACTTTTACTGTGATAACAACACATAAGAATAAGGTCTGAAGAAAAAAACAGTTGATATAATGAGGTAATTGGAATCATGTATCTCTCCTTTCCAAATGAAACTATATACATAAGATCACTGTTTATACCTGACACATACCTTAAGATTTAGTGGGCTTTTATTACCCAGAAAAGATTTAAAGGCCTCAGATTATCTGTTCTTCTTTCCTGGTCTATAGCTGGGAAATACTGGTTTTCGTACCATTTGATCATGGTCCTTGAATATTAAAGATGTGTTACCACCATGTTTATGATAGATGACCAAAATGTAAAACAGATAAAAACATTTATTCAAGGAATTGTAGATATCCCAGTTGCTGGTCACTGAAGTGTGGAGAGCAGTTTCATAAAGACTTTAATCTGGAAAGAACTGCGTAACAGTGGTGACAAGCCCCCAGAACACAAGACCAGCTTCTCCAGTGCAACATTTTATTACAGATTTCCAAACTTTGAACTGTATGTCTCAGAGGGAAGAAAATATTCAAGGCATTAAAAACCTTTACCTGCTTTCATATTGAAATCATTCTGAAGGGTGGACAAAAGTTTCTCTTCAAAGGTTACACTTCCTTTTCCCTCCCTCCCCCGAAGGAGAAATTAAGCTAAAGTCCAATCAACAGAAAAAGAATCTAGGGTGGTAAAGTCTGTGGCTTTACTTAATTGTATAGTCTATAAGTGATCTTCAGTCACCAAATATTTAGTCACCAAATATTTATAAACATCTGGAGCCTTGCAAGATTTACTTTTTGATAAGGAACTGATATTCTTGAGAAAATAATTCTGGTTTAACTACAATTTTCCTTCAAGGTGGGAGGTAGGCTTTGAAAGAAAGGGCGAGGGATGTTAATACAGAGCAGGAAGCGATGCGTTACAGCAGATAAGGAGAGTGGAATGCCATGAAATAGCCAGCTAACATAATCGACGGTATAATATGTGCCTTTAAAAAAAGCCGATAACAGATTTCAATTTCCTTTCCGTGCTGTGAAGTGACTGGAAGGGAGGCAGACAAGCATTTCCACACCTACAGGGGCCGGCGGCGGGAGCCCTGTGGCGGGTTTGGGGGCGCTCTCCGCGGTACTGAAAGGTCCGTGCAGGGCGCTCTCCGCAGTACTGAGGCCGCAGCCGCAGGCGGGATGCGGAAGCGAGATGAGTGGGTAGCGAAACTCGGTCTGAGACCTGAGCAAGGCAACCAGGGTTTGCAGTGTGGGCTGCTGCATGTTTAATAGTAAAAGGAATTAAGTTGTCTTATGATCCCAGTTATAAATGCCTCAGTGAGTTAGGTGCTCACTGAGTTGGGCTTAGATTACAGGTAGCTGTATTATTTATTTTTTTTAAGACACCTTAGAAAATCAGCCTGATAACAGGATTTACTTTGCCCAAAGTTTGTCTTGCCTAATGTTCTAAAGCTGACCATTAATAGAGTATTTTGAATATTACATTTTTTAAATTCTCACCAAAACTAAATTAAAAAAAAATAAATTGTTTATACAGGAAGCTACATCTCAGCACTCACAATTTAAAAAGTATCTAAAGATGCCTAGAGTCCTTTATTTCAGCAAGACCAGGGGAAAGAGGAGGGAAGCAATGAATGTTCACAGTATTCACGTGTGTTGGTTTTATTTCTCCTTGGACTAAGATAAAATGCGAAAGAATAAAAGAGAATAAATAAAATAGAAAATACAAGAAAAATAATCTCTCTGTATTTTTACCGGGAGATATTCTAAATGTGAACTGAAGGAGTCGCTAGATATCTTTGCTTTTAACACTACGTGCTCTTTTTAATGTGCTCCAATAGTCAAATCGTCTGATTGAATTCCCTGCTAGACTGCAGAACTAGCCATTCGTGGTACTTATTTTTGACACTGCAGTTATGCCTCCATCTTAGGAAAAAAAAAAAAAATCAATGGTGTCTAATAATCCCCTGGCAGAGTATACATTTCTTTTCATCAGCGTTTTACAGTGTTTTAAGTAAATGCATGCAGAGGAAATCAGTAAGCCATAATGATAAAAAGTTGCCGTGAATTGCTAACACTTTTAGTGATACATAGCACCAATATTACAGGTTATAACTTAAATGCTGCTGTTACTTATTTGCATGTATACAATATATAGATGTTATTTAAGAATAAGCTGCAACTCATCTCTGCCATGCTCTACTCCTGATAGGTTCCACAGTGTTCTCATTAGCTTGGCATTATCTGTATTTGTTTCTGTAAAGTCAGGTTTATTCTGTGTTCATCTGCATGTATCTATGGGGGAAGTCTCTCCGTGATATTTTCTTTAGTAATAAAAGGCAGGGAGAGAGATAAAGGAGACAAAAGATGTCTGTAGGCAGAATGTAGAATAAAATTAATTCATTTTCCTGGTGGGGCATCTAGGAATTATCTTCTAATGTTTGTAATAAAGCTTAAGTGGGTTCAGCAAAAGCTTCACTTAGATCACAAAGTCTGACAGTCCTGGTTCAATGTATTTTAATGGATCAGGCACACAACTGACCATATTTCCAAGGAAAATCTGAAGTAGTCCACAGAGTTTATCTTCTTTGTAACACCTGGACAAAAGACTGAAGTCTGTGGCTGTATTTGCAGATAGAAACTCAGTATTCCATTATCAAACTGGGAAGTGCTATTGTTTTCACAGAGGACTGAAAAATGACAAACTACACAGACCTCTCAGACAGGGAGGAACAGCAACATTTCCATAATACTGGGGTGAAAGGAAAACAGAGTGCAAAACAAGAGAGTGGCAGAATAAAGTCCAAAACATCAACTACTAAATCTCCAAATTACTGCATTTTTAAGCAACATTGCAGTTTCAAGCAAGTTGAGTGAAACAGTTTCACTTCACTTCAGCAAGTCTGTCCTAGTGCTGCTGATTCCTGTTTACCTCGCAAAAGCAGACTCGTGCCCCCCCCCCCCTTCCCGCCGCTACAGACCCTTATAGCTATTGTTCAGAACAACAGAAATCCTAATAGCAAGTAGAAGCATATAAAGAAAACCGGGCTGTCGTCCGGGGGGCCCCCCCCCCCCCGACAAGTCTAGGCGATTAGATCGGTTGCATAATAAAATTGGGAAGGCTGTCTGACAGGCAGCCTTAAGAAGAGAAGAGCTATCTCAATTTCTCTCACTTAATCTTGGCTTCGCGTCAGAAGCTGTGCAGCAGTGCAGTAGAATGGGAGCACAGCAAAAGCTTTGCCACTGAAACGGCTGGTGTTCACTATGTGGCGATAACTCAGCGATTTCTCGAGCTGGATTACCTATTGATTTTCCTCCTTTCTTGCCTCCCAGGTTTACTCAGCTGGACATTGTGTGTGTTTGGATTTCTCAAGGATTCTCCCCCGACTAACATGGATGTCCCACCATTCCTTACAGTTGAAGGTTGCTCCTTGGCGCAGTGAATGAAGAGCATGAAGGGATTGCTAATGGGTTTGGGAAGCGTAGACTCTCTCCTGTCTCTGTGACCATGCCGTGATTGTGTCTGAGGGCCATCAGTTTACGTATCCTCATTCTCACCCTAACGGGAAACCTGGCGGCTTAGAAGGGGGAAGTAAGGCAGCGCGTGTGTGCATAGAAACATCATGAAGATTATTTCCCCTATTTTATGTAATTCAGTCTTCAGATGCACCATTAGGCTCCTTTTTTGCTTACTGTGGATTGGATATTCTCAAGGAACCACACATGTATTAAGATTTGGTAAGATTTCCCGACACTTTTTTTTATTGTGCGTTTAAACCTGAATGTGATTTACGTAGCGATTGCCTCGGAAGGGAGTGCTGGGGGAGAGAGCGCTGGGACCTGCCGCCGGAGTCAGGCACCAAAGTCCGTCTTTATTTTGCATCCGGAGGGATGAATTGCTGTGTGTTTCTTTTCTGTCGCTGCAGCTCATTGTAGCCGTAGTAACGGCACGATGATGATAATTAGAATAACAATAGAGAGAAAAATGACTGGGAAACACGTTCGCCTGAGGCTCTGCGCGGTTTGCCTGGCTTTCTCCTAATGTGCCTTTTTTGTTCCCATAGTAGTGGAAAGCGTGGCTAATACAGTGCTTGATCAGTTAAAAACCTGTCAACTAGTTGTTAAATTTCGGTCTCTCGTCCCCGGTCCACCTGAGCCAATCCGGCGTGGGCGCGAAGCTGGGATTTCAGACTCTGGGGCTGATTCCCCTCGAAACGCCTGCCTACCTGCTTGCCACTTACAGTGGCGCTTAGGGTCAGGAAAGAACCGATTTACATCTTGAACGGTGAAACAGCCTTTGCGATACGTTTGAAACCCACCTCTTTTCTATGAGAGGAAAGTTATAGAAGTTTCTTCCCAGGGGAAAAAAAAATATAAGAAAAGGAATATTCATAGATCAGAAGATCTAGGAAAAATCAAGGAAAGTAGAGCGGTTTTACTATTTAAAGACTATCCTAGCTGGACTATGAAACTTGCCTGATAGCTCTGCCTGTTTACGCGCCCGCGTGTACGTCTGTGTAAGGGAGAAAGCGAGGGAGAGATCTCAGCCGCTCTATCCCTTATAAAAGTCTCGCAGTGAGGAAGAACAGAACAGAGATGAAAGTTAAACGCGGGTCCGAGAGGGCTGTGCGGCCAGGGAAAGCCCTCCGAGGAGAGCCACGGCGGGAGCTCTGCGCCCGCCTTCGCGACTCCCAGGCACGGCGGGCGGAGCCCCGCGTTCCGCGGTGAGCGGCGCGGGGGGGTAGGGGACCGGCCGAAAGGTGCTTCCCCAGACAAGCGGCATCCTCCATACCTACCGACAGCACGGCGGGACCCGGAAAGAACGGATCTCCCGCATTCGCGCTGGCCGTGATAAACTGTAACAGTTGCTACATCCATTTCTGCAGCGCACTGAAAGGTCTTCTATTCACCTGGGAGTAGTGCCTTGGTTTGTAGCTGTGTTTAACACACCCCCGCCAGTCCACTTCCCCCCACTATTATGTGGAGAGTGAGGTGGGTCATGGTGAAAACGTCACCAGGCTGTTACCGATCTCGTGTGCTGAATTCCTGGCAGCACTTCTTTTCTGCTTCCATCTGGTCTAAAGGTGGTGCTTAAGGTACGTTGCTCTTAGCAACCGTCTTCAGGAATGCTGGTTTCTTTGGACATAGCTAAGCGATTCCATATATCATCGCTGGCTTTATTTTGCATTCAGTCTAATCCGTAATCATGTCCGTGCAATTAGAGATGGACTGTCTGTAGTTGGCACTGTCCGGCTGTCTTTCCACGAACTGGGGTTTCTAACTGGTGCCGAGGGTAGGGCTCTGAATCTGAATTACTTTCAAGGGTAGCTGTGTAAACAAACGTCTTCCTGTCCACACCGTCAGAAAGAGTTGGGTTTTCCTCCTTTAGCATTCTCCCCAAATTGCTAGTCCCTTGTACCTATCCAGAGAACCCTGGAGAGCAGCGCTTTGGTGATGATCAGACTTGACAAATAACTCATGGCTGAGGAACTGGCGCAGCGGGATCCGGCGACTCGCCCGCAGGTATTTCCCGAGGATTAACGTCCCTTCCCGGTGTCTTCCTGGTGACATGCTCGGTTAACGGGTGGTGCCCACTACATTACTTGTAGCAGCGAAACACGAGTCAGTTCCTGAATCTCCTCATACTTTGTTGTGTCTTCCAAAAGAACTGTCACCAACCCATCTCTGAGACCTGGAAGCAAGTAGGGAACAGTTGGAGACTTTAATATGGAAAATGGTAGACATGAGAGAGCACAAGGAAGACTTTTGCCCTGCTCAGATGAGCCTGTTGCACATCTTTGGTTTAAGTAGTCTGGATTTAGCCTAGCGTGACTCTGACCGCGAGAGAACTCTTGGTCCTTTGCCAGGGACTGACATCTCCGCCTTTGAGTGGGGCACTGCGGGAAGGAGGAAAGGGGCAGGGAGTGAGCAGTGGAAAAGCTTTGGTTATTTCCGAGGGGGAAATTCCTCGTCGCCCCCTCTGGGTTCCCGTGCTATCTGTCCCATCGGGATGCCGGTGCCATCCCGCGGAGTCCTTCCAGAGGAGAAGCGGTAGGTGAGGAGATCCCTTGCAGAAGGCAGCTTGCCAGCTCCCGCTCTTCTTCCTCAGCCAGCAGTGCTATGGCAACAGGGGAGAGCTTGAATCTTGCCAGAGCTCCAGCCCCCTCATTCCTCCTGTGCAAATTAACTACATTCGCATTGTCCTTCCCACGGCTCCTTTCAGTGTTGGGACTAGCCAGCATGTCCTTTCGCTCCCTCTTTCTCGCTCTCAAGCTACCTTTTCGAAACTGTACAGGCAACGCGAGCAGCCTGGGTTATCTGACAAATGCGGGAGATTATTTTTGCCTGTTTCGCATAGAGCAAACATGGGGAGAGGCACAATCCTTCCACAGCGGCACTCACTCAGGCACCTGGACCTCCGCCTACTGCTGCTGGAGTAGGGTATTTGGGCAACATGGAATTTGGGCATCACACCCGGCGCCCTCCATGGGGTGTGAGGCCAAGTTCTCTCCTTTGCTCTTTCTTCAGAGCTTCCCATAAACAAGTCCAGAAAAGGTTGCGGATAAAAGGACAGGTCCCATCGTGACAAGGGAGAAAAGCAGCAGCCTAGTATTTGTCTCTCCGCTGTGTTAAGTTTGATGGAAACCTTTTCCATATCTCTTGGGATCGTACAAAAGTCAGAATACGTGACCGCGGGGCAGATCCGTTCCGTTATCAGGGATCACTTTCAGTCAGTCCAGTGTAAGAACGGGTTAGGGGCCCCGGCTCCTCACAAACAGACAGTAGCTTGGCAAATCCACAGCCCAGCTCTGCCCAGCCCCCCCATCTCCCGGCAGCGCTGGACACGGCGGGCTGCCTGACCTCGTACAGAAGCGAGATCAAGGCTCTCGCTTCTGCCTTTACCTTCGTGGGAGCACCCCGGCACTTTAAAAGTAAAGCTGAATTAACAAGTCATTAAGAGCTGTTAACCATCAGTAACTGCTCACCTGTGTTTTGAGAAATCCTCCCTTTCCCTTCCCTTGCCCAAGGCAGAAAGAGCCCTGGGTGCTTAAACACCCTTCTTAGTTGTTCTTACACGGGGTGTGATTGTTGAAATCAATGTTTGTTGAAATCTAGAGCATTCTGAAGTACAGTCCTTTATTTAAATCGCCCGTTTCGGGTCTTGTCTCTTCTGCTGTGAGCAATTCATCACTCCTTCAGCCAAGGTGTGAGGAAGGATCCTTGAAAGTGGTTCGGCCATTGCGTTTCCTTATTCTCTATCAGGCAGCTCATTATTAGTGGAAGTGTGAAAGACTGAAGACCTCCACTGCAGGGGGCTCACCGGCCTCGTAAGTGTTAACTCACTCTGTGAGGTACTTTGTTTTCTTCAGCACATTCATAAAGAAGGGTGAAGAAAAGCAAAAGCTCATGTCTGTAATTTCGACTTTTTGTTGCTTCGTAGTTGCCTGACTTTAAACAGGTGAAAAAGGAAGCTGAATGTTGTGGATTACAATGAACTATAACGGAAAGCGTGTGTGTTTCTTCTTCCAGCTCATAAAGCAAAGAAAACAAAAAAAGAGATGGGAGCACTTTTCAAGGAACAAATAGAGAATTTTGACTTCTTATCAGAAACGCTTTCTACTACTGACTTATTTTACCACTAAGAAAAAAGCAAAACCCAAAACACTCAAACAAAAAAACAATCAAAAACAGTTTCCCCAAACTCTTACAAAGCCTATCACTTTCCTGCTGCCCTCCATAAGATAGTAGTAATAATAATAATAATAGCAAAACAAAAATCTATATGACCATGTAATCTTTGAAATAAAAAAAAAAAAAAAAATCTTTTTTTCTCAAGTCTATCTTGGGAACCTGAAGAGGGGAATTGCTACACACTGGATTTTTCCTCCGTAAATATGTAGCATGGGTTTCACCTGGCACAGTTCTTAGCTAAGTTTCTTTGTCTCAAGCAGATTGATTTTATCCCCATATGTTTTTTATGAGGTCGAGCATGGCAAAACCAGAGAAGAGGCCAGTTGATGGTGTCCACTGCTCCTGCAGCTACCAGCTGCTTTCAAAACACGTCTTTCTGGGTTTTGGCCGACCATTTTTACATAGTAGCCTTTAAATTCAGCAAAATCATGGAAAAGCAGTGAGAGCTATCTGTGTGCTAAAGGGTATGAGAAAAGTTCAAGTGAAAAATACCTGCTGGGTAATCATGTAGGGTTTTCCTAGGCTGAATCTGCATTAGGTCTCCTGAATGTGTACTTTCTTTGGATTTTGCACTAGTACCCTGTTAGTGGAAGGAGGTAACCTTTCTGCCTGTATTTAAGAGAGAAATGAGAAAATGTACATATCTAGCTTTAGTGGGGAAGGCAGTCTGCCTTCAGATCAAGAGTGATGAAAATCTGCAAACCAAACACTTGTGGCAACCCTGAGCGGTCTGTGTTTTGGTAATTCGAGCATTTATAACCAGTGAAAATTTTACTGCCAAGGACAAGAAGCTTTCAGTACATGTTAACATCCTCACGGAAAGGAGATCAAAATCAGTGTTATAAACAACAACAAAAATCTTTGAAAGAAGAGTAAGGTTAAGAGCCTCGGGAAGGCAACAAGGAGGTGCGAAGCATTGTTATTGACTGGCCTAGATTAAACAGCACAAAGGAAGATTTCAATTTGATAATGTCACAGCCTTCCAGTTTTTCTTTTCTGCTTCTGCTGACAATTTTGTAAGGTAATTAAATTGGCTGATTGAAGTC